CCCCCCCCCCCGCCCCCCTTCCCCTTTTTCCTTTGGAGGTCTCCAGGAGCCTCACCCTGCCGGGAGACCTTCCCCCGCCTTTCCCCCGCAGGCCGGGCCGGGATTCCTCCTTGGGACGGGGGCCTTTTGGGGCTCCTTCAAGGTGCTCAACTTTTGGCTGGTGCCGCCCGGCCTCCACTTCCTTTTCTCCTGGGGGGCAAGAGCCCCCCCCCCCTCCCCCCCTCCCCCCCCCTTTTCGATGGGACCCGCCAGTGCAACTCCCCCCCCCCCCCCACATACAAAGGCGCCTCCCTCTTTTGGAACACCTACCTCTCCAACCTCGCACACCAGTACCTCGCCACGTTCCCGGGCGGCGGAGGAGGCGCCGTCGCGCGCCGCTCGGCCGCATTCGCCGACGAGATCTTGCACCTCGCGAACAACGTTGGGCTGCAGGAGGAGGTCGAGGCGCGGGCAGGGCTTGCGGGCTTGAGCGCGGCAGGAGCAGCCGGCGGCGGCAGCACAGGGAAGGAGGAGTCGGGTGCGGGCGGCGCGGCGGATGGGAGCGGGCGCAGGATAGCGGGCGCGCGCGGCGGCCGCCACAACAGGGCTGGGAAGCCGCCGGGGGAGAGGAGGGCCCGGCGGGCAGATATCGGAGCGCTCCGCGGTTTAGAGGCGAATCTGACAGCCCTATACGCAACGTCGGGGTTGAGATGACCCACTGATGAGGCGGTGAGGCGGGGGCGTCTCGCGCGCGAAACTGTGGGAACACACGAGGAGAGAAGACAGAAGTGCACAGAGTTAGTTGTAAGGAGCTTGGGGCTTCGTATACAGCACTCTACCAGAAACAGATAACAGCTTGTATGAGTATGTTTTCCTGTAGAGTGCTGAGACGTCTTGCAGCATTGCGGGGGGTTGCGCGAGCGCCGCGATCCCGCGAACAGGCCGAACGCGCTTGTTTGTACCTTGTTGTTGTTCACCTTTCAGTTGACACATGACCATCCTCAATCCACATTCGACACGTACATCCACGGCCCATGGTTTGCCGCATCCTCGGAGTCGGACAATCAAACCTCCACGTGTTGTACTTGGTTGTTCTTGTTGGTTGTTGCAGAGCTGCGCCGGCCGCGCCGCCTGCGCGCTCAAGATACACGTCACACCGTCCCTCGAGCGCCGCCCACTCGCGTCCTCGCGCCGCCGCCGCCTTTGTCTCCTTGCTGCGCACGAGAGCATAGTTCGGGCCCACCCCCGCCGCACTGTCCAGCACGTGGACGGCGCTCGCCAGCTGGCAGTTCGACCGCCTCGTCCATGGCGCTGCCCCTCCGCACCACAGTCTTCAAAACTGCACGTCCGTAGTGCAAATCTGCATGCCTGGGTGGCATCGTTGCGACGGCATGGAGGAGCACAAGCTGCTAGATCGCCGACGCGATTACACGCGTGGAACTGGGAAGGTTCATGTGCATGTGCATGTGCATGTGACGCTCTGTGCAAAAAGAGAAAGGCCACAGTTGCCACATGTTTTGATATTTGGCAAATTTCTGCATGCGTAGTTTGGAGAGACTAGACGAGGCGACCTTGAATGGGTAATATGAGACGCACCGACACTCGGGCGGGCAGGGGACGCGCTCCCGGCGGCTCTGGCCCTACGCGATACCAAATACAGAGCCATGCTCACTAGGCTCGCAGAGATCCCAAACATGAGTCTCCCGCTAGGCCGACGGTCCGCGCGGCGCCCTCAGGAACCTCGAGAGGGGTGCATGTCCAGCCCGCGTGCGCGCGCCGCAGCTCCATGAGACCTGGCACCACCTCCAGGTTGGGGATGTTTGCGGGCTCAAGGCCGCACAGGTAGGACCACAGCACACGCGAGATAGCGCGGTCGCACACGACGACGACGTTATTCCTTGACTGCTCGATGGCAAGGACGGTGTCCAGCAGCCGCTGAATCACATCCTGGTACGACTCGCCTCCGACGCCGGGGAAGCGGTAGCTCAGCTTGTCTCTCTCGCGCGCCTCTCGCTCCGCCACGTGCTCCGTGTGCAGCGACTCTGCTGGCACGGACTCAAGCTCGCCGGCACAGAGATCGTTCAATCGCGTGAGCCGTGTGACCGAGGTCGGCTGGATCTGCTTTCGCATCATGTCGATCATGGGCGAGTAGCGGCGCAGAGTGCCGCTAATAATGGCCGGATTGCTATGCTGGGTCCCCGCAAGCTTCTCAGCAGTCGACCAGCTCGCGATCCGCCGAGCGAGCAGCGCTACAGTTGCGCGGGCGTACTCAAGGCCATCAGCAGAAAGCGGCGAGTCACCACCGACAATGTCGCTCGTGTCGTTGAGGGTCTGTCCGCAAAGCACCTGCGCGGGTCGTGCAAGTGAGGTTGGTGGGTTCTTGTGGCGGGTGGTGGATTGGGGAACAGAGGCGGCGCACAAGCCAGATTGCTCGCGGCTCGAGGTGGATGGCGTGCAGCAGCGCCACAATCCGCGTCGAGACGTAGCCAGCGAGGCCCGACGCGACGAGCCTCTGCCCTGCGTTGTGGATCTGCAGGTAGCTCACGCCTTCTGCGGGCTCGATCCGCTCGTACGCCTCCTCGTACTTTTTCACGCGTCCAACGAAGTCCTCGAGCGCCTCTTTTTTGTTGGTCTTCGTCTTGGCGAGCTTCAGCCGATAGTTGTGCTTGAGCAACTCGTCGTCGTCGCAGATAGACTCGAGAAAGATGAGGCGGACGGGCGGTCTCTCGTCAGCGCACCGAGCGACAATCTGCTGCCGCCGTGCAACTGTGGTGTTAGTGGCATCGAAGATCGCACAGGCACAGCCCGAGGCGCCAGTCGCAAGCCACGTCGTGGCCGTCGCGTCGCGTAGCCAGGAGAAAAGTTCGTCGAGCGTCTCCATCGCAACTTGGTCGCGGGTTGCTATGGCGTCGTCGGTTCCCGGGTCGCTGACCCGGCTGCTTCGGCGGACCTCCGTTTTGCGGTGCTCTTCGGAGTTGAAGATGCGTGCTGGGCAGCCTATGAGGTTGAGGTACCGCACTACCGCCTTCGATAGGTAGCTCTTCCCTCGTGCGGGCAGCCCCACCATGGCGACCACAACCCGGTCGCGCAACTCCGCGCCCTCTACGCGTGCGTACGCCGAGCGGGGAGTAAGCGTCTCCGATGTGGCCTTGGCCGCGTGCTTCCAATGCCCTCCCGGAGACCTTCCAGAGCCGCCCTTGTCTGGCAAGGTCACCGGCGGCACGCAGGTCTTGGCTGGCGGTGGCGCAGCCGCGCTTGTGTTGCTGCTGGCCTGGCCACCCTTTGCGCGCGCGTAGCGTCGGGCGGCCAACGCGGTGACAGCTATACAGATGCTACACACGACTGTCAGCCGCGCCAATGCTGCCGCAGAGCTCATGTTGAAGTTCGCTTGTTCGCGCGTTCGGCCTTTGCTCGAGGGACGGCCGCGCGGAAAAGGAGAACTGCGTGGAACTGAAAAGTTAGTTCGGGTATACAGGCACATCAGGTACCCTGCCACATCAGGCAGGGCGGTGGCGGCGTGTTGCATCCGCGGCGGACTCCTCCTGGGACCTGGCGTGTGTGCTCCGTAAAGGTCGTGTTAGCTGTGACTTTGGAATTCCTGACAGGGCCCGCGAGCGCCGCGAGACCACCGCACAGTAGGAGCACAGGCGCATTTTGCACCGACAATGAATGTTCATCGACACTGCCCCACTCGCCACTGATCAATACGTGGCGCCGAAGTTGGCATGGGTGATGCGCGTGTCGCTCGAGCGCGACGTCCCCGAGAGTGGCGCGAGGGTCTCAGGCCGCATCATCAGCTGCGTCTTTTGCGCGACGATGCGGGCGACCAGCTCGCCCTTGGCCTCCTCCTCGTCGTACTCCACCTCCATGTAGTCGAGCAGTGCCTACCGGTCCGGAAGGGCAGACAGTGAGGTGCAGCTCTCGCCAAGGCGGACCTCGAGGCACGGGCGAGCGGCGCCCAGAGCTCGTCAATGGTCCTCGCCTCGAGCCGCGCGCGCTCCTCCCGCTCGAGCCGCACGCGCTCCTCCACCGCCTCCGCCGTGTCCGCCGCCGCCGCCGCCATCTTGCGCGCGACGCGCCCCTGCATCACCAGCGCCACCAGCCGCGGCTTGTCCTCCTCGGCGCCACGGAAGCGGGAAGCAGGGATGCTCATGTACTCGAGGAGCAGCCGCAGCTGCAGCGCCGACTTTTGGTACAGCACCGCCTCCTCCTTGGACGCTGGCTGGAACTTGGCCGTCCGCTCCGGCTGCGGCTGGCAGGAGCGAATGGCGCGCGCGATCGCAGTCACCCACCGCGTGCGCTCCTCCTCCGAGGCGGCGGCGAGCAGCGTCGTCACCGGGGAAGCGTCCTCCTCGGCCTGCGACGTGATGGAGAAGGCGTGCGGGTGCACCTTGTCGCCCGCGGCGGCAGGCACGAGCAGCGCGTCCTTGTTGAGGGCGACGAGCCCCTTGGCGACCGCCTGGCCGCCGGCCTGCGCCGTGTCCGCCGACTCGTAGTAGGCGAGGGTGGGCGCCTGGGCACAGAGACACCCGTGAGCGCAACGGCAAGCAGCGCGGCCGGCCCACGACGCTCGTCTGCCGTCTCGTCGCCGCGCGACCCCTTTGGCTGCAGCTCGAACCAGCGGTCGGACCAGCTGCCCATCACTGCCCGGGCGAGCACGCCCCCCCCCGCCCCGCCCCGCCGCCCCTTGCGCTTGGCCAAAGTGCCGTACCTACACTCGCACGGATGCGCCGCTCATGCTGCAGCCTTGGCGGGGGGGCGGGCGGGCGGGGGGGGGCGCACGTGGGCGTGCGCTCGGCAACCTCCTCCGCCGCCCGGCCGAGCGCGTCCACCCACTTGGCGCGCTCGTCGCCTGTCGACGCGCCGAGGATGTAGACGGGCGCATCCACCTTGCCTGGCCAGCTGAGCTTCAGAGGACGCACGCCGCGCGCCACCGCCGCCTCGACGACGTTGGCCGCCGCCGCCTTCTTTGCGACGGCGTTGGCCGCCACGACGGCCCGCCCGGCGGCTCGCAGCCCGACGGGCGAGGTGCGGCTGCTGCCCCCGCCGGTGCTTGCGGCAGGGCTCGCGGCCCGGTTCTCCTCCCGACTCGAGTCCTCGTCCTCCTCGTCATAGCTCGCGATGGCGCGCGCACGCATCCCCCGCAGCCTCTCCGCCTTCTTCTCCGCCTTCTTCTCCGCCTCCGTCGCCGCAGGGCCCTCGGGCCGCGCCGCCGCGCCCAGCAGCGGCTGCGCGATGCGCTTCTCGGGGTCGACGCGCAGCTTTGACGCGCGCTTGACCTCCTCCTCCTCGTAGAACGACACGTCGCCATCCGCCACCACCACCCACGCGCGGAAGGGAGGCGCCGTACCCGCGAGCCGGCCTGCGCGGATCCGCGCCGGCGTCACCTCGAGCCAGCCGTGGATGTCGCCCTGGGGCAAGCTGACGACCCGGCCGGTGGCCTCGTCCTCGTCGGTCGGTGGGGGCGTGGCGACGAGCAGCTCGTACGACTCTCGCTGCAGCGCCTCCATGACCTCCGCCGGCCGGCGCCCCTTGAGTCTCTCCCCGTCCACCGCGAGAATGACGTCGCCGACGCGCAGGCGGTGGCGCGTCATCTCAAGACCTACGGGGGAGACAACGGCGGCGGAGTGCGCGCTCGCCCCTCCCGCCTCTCAGGCCGCAGCGGCGGAGACTCCTCCGCGCGTCAGCTTCCGCACCGCGTTGGCGTCGTCGAAGGCGATGCCGGTCGCCGTCTCGGAGAAGCCGCGCAGCGGCCGCGGCACGAGCGAGCGCGGGTCGAGGGCGTTGCGAAAGGCAACCTTGCGCTGCTCGATGGCGCCCGAATCGGCCTGCCCGCACAGCCACTCCTCCTCCGCCGCGGCAACCTCGAGCCGCGCCCCCTCCTTCGCGGCGCGCTCGAGCGCCATCCGCTCCTCCCACTCTGAGAGCATCGTCCCAAACCGCTCGTCGACCAGCCCCTGCGCCGCGCCGAGCGCGGCGATGAGCTCGCAGGTGAGGCCGCACGCGGCGTCGGTGGCGTCGGCGAGGGCGCTCTTGAGCTCGTGGAAGGCCGCGAGGCGCGGAGAGTGGTGCTCGCCCTCGTAGTCGGAGCCGAGCGACGAGGCGAGCGAGCCCATGTCGTCCGATGCGCGCTTGAGCGCCGCGCGCGCCTCGGCCGTCGCGAAGAGGAGCTTGTCCGCCTCCGCCTTTTGCACCTCGAGCTCGAGGGCGCGCAGCGCGCGCTTCTCCGCGGAGAGCCCGCGCTCGAGCGCGCTCACCTCCGCGCCGACCGCCTCGAGCCGCTCCCTCATCCGGGGCAGCGGAGGAACCTCGAGCGCCGCCGGCAGCCTCGCCGCCGCGAAGCCGCGCTGCGCCTGGCGGAGCCCCTTACTCGCACGGTCGAGGCTGGACTCGGCCTCGAAGAGCGGCCGCGGGGCTCCGTCGGCGGCGAGCGCGGCGGTTGCCGCGTCGAGCGCGGGCCTGTGCGTGCGGAGGAGAGCGGCGATGCGTCTGCCGAGCCGCGCGCGCGCGACTGCCTGCACTGCGACGGCGGCTCTGCGGCGCGCGGCGAGGCGAGGGACGTCGAGAGCGGCGGCGACCGCGGGGCGCATGAAGAGCTTGGACGTGCCTAGCTGCGCCTCGCGGCTGGCGAGCCAGTCCGGGTTGCCGTCCAGTTTGCCGGCCGCCGCCCGCAGCAGCCGCTCCGCCGCCTGAGGGATGTGACAAGGACGTGTCAGGGACAGTCAGGGGCGTGCGCCTCCCGAGGTGGGCCGATGAGTACAACCTCGGCGATTCTCGGCTAGAGCCTCGCCTCCCGCGGCGGCCCGTCGAGCAGACCGGGCTGGTCGAAGACGACGCAGCGGTAGCGGCCGAGGAAGGAGGCATACGGCAGCTTGACCTGGTAGCCCGCGCGCCCGATCTCGAGGACGGCGCCCACGCCGAGGTAGCGCAGCTGCCGCTGGACGTAGGCGGCGTCGAGGGAGTGGGGCGTCTTGGTGGAGTTTGGCTTGATGCAGCGGACAAAGTGCTGCTGCGTCACGAGCAGCGCTGCGCCGAGCGAGCGGAGCGACTCGCGGAAGACGCCAGAGACGGAGGGCGCGCGTGAAGACTGGCCGGTGGAAAGGGGCGGCGCCTCGAGGGCGGCGCCGGAGGGGAGGGAGAGGAGCGGGTAGTCGGAGCCGGCGAGCAGCTCCGTCACCTACAGGAAGGCTCCAAGAAGCTTCCACGGAGGTTGCGGGCAGTCGGAGCGCGAGCAGCGGCGTCGCCTCGTGCCGGACGGCGGAGCGGTTCTTGTCGAGCCAGCCGCGCGCGGTGTACTGCACCTCCTCCGCGTAGTGCCGCACGCAGAAGAGGGTCTCCGGCCCGACCTCAGCCGCCAGGGCCGCGCCCGCCGCGCCGGCGCCGAAGCGGGCGCGCGAGTAGAGGCCCGGCCTCGACTTTTCGAAGACGGCGTGCATCTTTTCCACGAGCGCCTCGTCCGAGCCTCGCGGGATGCGGCACTCCTCGTCAAGGAGGGCGAAGATGCCGCCCTTGCCGCCCAGCATGGAGACCTGCTCGGCGTTGGACGGGTACTCGATGTGGTCGCAGACCACGCCCTCGCGCGCGTACTCGGCCTGCTCGCGCTTGATGAGCGCGTCCATGAACCAGCCTTGCAGCACCTCGTTTGCATAGTTGATGCACAGCTGCTCGAAGCCGTTCCGCTCAAACGACTCGAAGCCGAAGACGTCGAGCAGCCCGATCGTGCGCGCCTCGCCGCCGCCGCCGCCGAGCGCCTCGTTCACGCGCCCCAGCACGTGGCTCCACAGCGCCGAGTAGACGCGCCGCGCGAGGTCGTCGCGCGCGGCTGCGGCGGCGGCTGTGTCGAGGTGGACGGTGACAGCCTCCCCGCCCGCCACCACCCTCCGCGTGGTGAGGGCGAGCACGAGCGCGCTACTCCGCACGCCGAGCAGGCTCGCTGCGCCGTCGGCCGCCGCGGGCTCCGCCGGCGCGGCGGCGTCGCTGCCTCCGCGGCCTCGCCCTCCCTCCTTGAAGGAGACATCACCGAGCGCGAGGACGGCGGCGAGGACGGTGAAGGCCGCCTCGCGCTGCGCGTCGCTGAAGCCGAGCGCGGTGAGCCGCGAGCACGTCTCCACCCACCCGGCGGCGTCGTCCTTCCCTCCGACGTACGCCTCCGCCTGTGGCGTCGCCTCTTTCGCCATCGCGCCTCGCTGCTGCTTCAGAGGCGGCTCGGCCGGGGTCCAGCGCGCATAGGCGTGCGCCTCCGCCTGCGGCTTGAGGCGCCAGGCGGCGCGCTGCTTGGCCGAGGCGCCCCCGAGCAGCTGGTAGAAGATGTGGTAGTTGCGCTCGCCCGCAGGGTGCGACGAGACGCGAGAGGTCTCGAGCAGGAAGTGCGCGATCGAGCAGCCGGCGACGCGGCCGGACGCGCTGAAGTGGAGGGTCTGCCACTTGCCGAAGCGAGACGAGTTCGAGTTGCGTACGGTGCGCGCGTTGCCAAACGCCTCGAGTAGCAGCCCCGCCTCGAGCACCCGCCCGGCGATGATCCCCGCAGCGGCGGCCGCAGCCGAGGACATCGCCGCCGAGGCGGCGAGCCGCACAAGCGAAGAGAGCGCGAGCTTGGTCGTCTCCGTCTTGCCGGCGCCCGACTCGCCGCTCACGAGAATGGCTTGAGGCCCGTCGACCAGCCCGTCGTAGGCCTCGAGGGCGACGCGGAAGATGTGAGCCGGCAGGTCGCTCACGGCAGCGCCACCTGTGCGGGAGAGACGGTGAACAGGCTGAGCGGCAGATGCTATTGAGCGGATAGATGCTATGCTATGCTGCAGGGTAGTGCCAGTGCTGTGCGAGCACCGGCATTCAGCGCCGCGAGCTCGGCCAGGCAGCGCTGGTCGCAAGCTGCCACCGGAGCATACGGATTGACGGCGAGGAGCACAGGCCCAATCGAAGTGTAGATCTCGTCCTCGTTGTACCGAGCGGCCAGTGCGTCGTAGGCCTCCACCTCGTCCTTTGCTGAGGACAGAGCGTTGCTCCCAGCGCTGAGGGAGGGCATCAAGAGGTGAGCGCAGGAAAGAGGGCGGCGGCTCGCCGCCGGAGCAGTCCAAAGAGGGCGGCGGCTCGCCGCCGAGCAGTCCACACAAGGAAGAAGAATTAGAAACCGAGTAGCCCCCGCGAGCGTGGAATAGGGCCGGCCGCAAGCGGCGTGGCGAGGTGGCGAGGGGAGCGGTTGTGCATCCCTCCGGGGGCCCCTCTGCGCCGCCGGGGAGGCGTTGTTGGAGGCTAGGACGCAAGCGTCCGTCGCCTTTTTCAAACTCGGGTCCCACTCCGCTACGCTCCGACCCGAATTTGATGAAGTTTAAGGTGTTGCTGCGCAAAAGGGGTGGCGCGCGGGCGGCGCGGCGGCGCCGCAAAGAAGCACTCACTAGTCACAAGAGGTAAGTAAGTCATAATGTTAATGGGACACCAATCCTCACTCCTCACACTCGCACACACTCCATGCACTGTAGAGAGGAATGAGCGGCCACGGTAGGCACGCTGTCGCTCGAGGGGCATGCCGCCGACGAGGTTGAGCTCGTTGCCGAGGTACCGTGCCCGCTCTTTGTCGAATCGCCGCTCGCCGAGGCCTGCCAGCTGCATGTGGGAAATGAGGGCCAGATTGCACTCGACGTGTGTCGCAAGTCAGACTCCTTTGCAAAGCCAGGTGGGGCGTAGAAGACGGAACGCCACCACAGCCGGCGCCCGTGCATTTGCAACCGTGAATCTGCAAAGATTGAATTGGATTCGGAGTTTGTCGCTGGTCAATGCCTTTGTGTCATCCCACCGCGAGCGAAGCCAGTTCCATTCTCGAGAGAGTCCGCTTGCATCATCCTCTGCTGACAACTGCACCTGAATCTCTAGCCACCTTGACGGGTCGCCCTCGAAGACTTCAGCTGTGAGGTACGCTGGCCAGTCAAGCTTGGGGCCGTTCCACACAGCATAGAAGGGCTCTGCTTTGCCATGCTCGCCGTCCCAATCCTGGCGTGCCGCCTCCGCCTCTGCGTCGTACATGATCCCGCTGGATCTTCCTCACTCAAAACGGCTCTTGACGTCTTCGAGATGTGGCACAGGTAGGCTGATGGATGGCAAACGCGGCAATGAAGGCAGAGCTGCTGCGTCCCTTGCATCTGCCTCGCCACGTCCGTCGCACAAGTGCATGAGCCGGCAATCCGGCAACCATTCAGGGCTGTCAACAATCATACGTGCACCGTCCTCCCCCGCCAATTTATACGCCACCCCCCAGAGTTGCGGGCACATCTGCAGCTGCTCATGTCGGCGCCGCTCAAAGCCCAACACCATCGGCTTAAAGGGAACGAGCCCATCGGCGCCCACTGCTCCCAACAGAGTTGCCGCCATTGCGCCTGCGCCTGACTCGAGGATCGAAGCCTGCGCCTCTTCGTGGGGCAACAGCGCCGTGGAAGCCGCGGTGGTGGCAGCACGACTAGCAGCAGCTGCATCACGATAGCTGTCACGGTGGCCTTGGCGATCCGTCTCCTGCTGCTGCGCGCTCTCGCGCCGGGCCTGCGCGTCGTTCATTCCCGCCTGTCCAGCCGCCCGACTTTTTCTTCATTTTATTGAATGACGTATACTCCTGGTCCCAGGTCGGCTCGCCGGAAATCTGCAGGTACCAGCAGTAGGGCGCCGTGCCGGGCCCTCGCTCTTTGCAGTGGCGCAGGCTGGGGGGCGCAAAAAGCCGTCGCGGTCGTCCCCCCGAACGGACGGATCAGGGACGCATCCTTTCTGCATGCCCGGGCGCGCCGTTTTGAAACTTGTTCCGCGGGACGAGAAGTTTGCGTCGCCGAACGAAAATCATCGCAAACCCTGTCAGCAGTTCACCCTCGGGTATGTTCGTAAGAGCTACATACACTAAAAAATCCCACGATTGCACGAGTTTTAATTATTTTTTCGTGTGGGGGTATGTCATGAGTTGCCAATGGTACCGCGTCTGCGACGCGGGCGCCTTGCGGGCAGAGCCCTTAGCCACCCTCCCTTATGTCTTGCGCGGTCAAAAAGAAGAAGTGCCCCGACCCAACATTATGGCTTCCAGTATCGGACCTTCAAGACATGCGCTTTTGGCCGGTGGCCTCCTCGGACATGGTACCTCCGGTGAGATAGTGGCTGCCAGTTGCCCAGTTCGAGACTGGGGCCGATCGAACTTGAGTTGTTCGGAGGAGGAATCCGGCCAGCACGGGTACAAAGAGGGGTACCCGGAGAATCCCCAGCTGCGGAAACGTAGTGTCGCTCAAGAGGTGCGATACTGCGGGGGAGTGTTAGGTGCCTTATATGGGCTTCCAGTATTTGACCTTCAAGACATAAGTGTTGTAGAGCGACCCTCTAGACCTACTACCGAACCATTGCACAGGTGCGACGCTGCGTCGCTGCGACGGCAGCGGGGCAGCGTGCGGCGGGCAGTCGAGATGTTGCAGGCCGCTCGGTACCTGCTGCGCCTGACGGTCCAGCTGCCGTCTCAAGCGCTTGGTGCATGAAGATGTGTTTCTCACTTCAGGGGTCTCAAGAGACAAGCAAGACGGGTCGGATCCTGCTCGTGCAGGTGGGGACCCTGTCCTCGTCCCATCCCTTCCCCATCCCTCGTTTGGCGTGTCTGTTTTCTTTCTTTCTTTCTCTAGGTAGGTGAAGAACAAACAACCCGGACTGGACACCAAAGCGGTGCTCCGAGACGCTCTTGAAGCCCGTCTTGTTGGTGGACGGCACCAGAGATAGCTTCTCCGCCTCCACTGCTGCGCGCACCTCCGCCTCACCCATCGGCGGTGCGCTCAGAGCCGCCGCCGCCGCCGCCGCCGCCTCAGGGCGGTTAACGGAGCGGGCTTCCATTCTGCGTAGGTAGGTAGGTAGAAAGGTGAAGAACAGCCAGGCTCGGACTGGACACCAACGCGGTATGGGTGGACGCTAGACAGATGATGACGACACGCACGAGCGACACACAGACACAAACAGGCTCACAAGACACACAGCCAGCTGGCTGCCACACACCCTGAGTAGGCGTACACATCTGCGTCCCGAGGTTCGGCAAAGGTAAAGCGAGAAAGAAGCATTGACCGACTCGTCCAAGTACAGCCAAAATGTCGTTCCAGGCTCGCGCGATCAACAAGGCGCGCGAGATTGGGTTCGGGCCGTTGGTGCTGCTTCTCGTCGCGGTGCTCTGCGGGCTCAAGGGCCCGATCTTCTTTGGCCTCCTCGTGCTGCTCTGCTGGAACTGTGTCGTTCGCGACGCCTTCCACGCTGTCGGGAGTACGGTGCGAGGGCTGAGGCAGCACGGCCCTAGCCGGTCGGCGCCAAGCGCACCGCAGACTGTCTCCGAGTATCGCGCCTGGCTCCTCCGCTGCACGCACGCGCCGCTGCCGCCGGCCGACTCGCCGCTCGAGGTGTACGAGAAGCTCTACCGCGAGCATGGCGGGCGACCCACGCCGGACGCCAAGGCCGCGCCCACCCCCACGGATACGGCCGACGCGCCACCAGTCTTCGTGGACGGCAGCGGCGCTGTCGCCTCCAAGCTGCTGCCGCCGCCCTCGTCGCTGCGGCTGGCGGCTCTCGTCGCGGCCGCCTGGAGCGCGACGGTGCTCAGCGCGCTGGTGCCGCCGGCAGCCTGCGGGCTGGGCTTCAGCTGGCAGCTGTCTCCGCTCGGTGTGGCGCTGCTCGACCCGCGCACCGCTGCGCAGGCCCTCGGCGGCGGGCTCGGCGCGTGGGCTGTCTTCGACCGCCACCCGCGCAGCGTGCCGCTCCGGGCCGCGGTCGTAGCAGCCGGCGTGGCCGCCATCGCCGCCGCGCTGCACGTGCGCGCGCTGCTGACGCTGGTCGGCCCTTTCCTCTTCACCGCCTCGCCCCGCCTCTACCACTCCCTCGCCGGCACCGCTGTCCCCGTCGCGATCCGGTACTCGCTGCTGCCCGCCACAGCCGCGGTGGCGGCGTGCTCGGCGACGGCCCGGCGCGCGCCCGCCTCGCGGAGGAGGCGCGGTCCGGTCCGGTACGCGCTGTTCGCTGCTGCCGCGGCGGCGGTCGCTGTCGGTGCGGCCGCTGGTCGGCTGCCGCTCGTGGATGGGCTGAGGTCCGCCTCGGTCAAGGCTGGGGCGGGCGACTTCAGCGGCGCGAGGGAGGAGCTGTGCGGAGGCGTGCTCCGCTCGACGGGCCTGCCGCGCCTCTGGTTCTGCGGCGGCGGGGGAGGGCTGCTGCACCCGGACTCGGACCCCTCCTCCGCGGCCCGCGAGGCGCGGTTGCTGCTGGGGCTCAGCTCTGGCTCTGCCCAAGCTCGAGAGGGGCGGGTGCTGCGGGGGGCGTCTCTTCACGCCTCCCGCTGCGAGTAGGCTTCGTCTCGCTCGCCGAGCTCAAGGCGGCGCACCGCAAGGCCGCCCTCGCCACGCACCCTGACAAGCTGCCGCCCTCGGCCGCCGACGACGACCGCGCCGCAGCCGCGCAGCGCTTCCAAGCCATCCAGGAGGCGTACGAGCTCCTCCTCGCAAAGATGCCGCCGCCGCCGCGCTCGCCGCCGCCGCCGCCGCCGCCGCCGCCGCCCGATGAGGAGGAGGAA